ATTTAGGAACTGTATCTGTCTATACCTTTATTGCCTCTCAAGCCTTAGCATTTGTATAGTCGTATTAACCTAATATTATTGTTTACATTCCAAGCTTACAGAAGGCAGCAGACCAGCATAGGATAGTAGAGATGGGGAAACCAATTAGATACTTATTTCAAAATCACCCGACTAGGTATGTAACAGAGCTAGAACTACAAGCAAGCATCAGAACCTTCAATGTTTTAGTCCTCCATTCAGCAAGCACTGAATGCCTACTCTGTTCTAATCTCTGGGGATAACAAAGTAATTAAGACATGTCATATATACTCATGTATAAGCCGAGTTTCTCAGCACATTTTTAATGCAGTTTTTGTGGTAAAATTAGGTGCCCTGGATGATACTCAGGTCGACTCATACTCGAGTATACACTGTAGCCCTTAAGTGTTATTCTATAAAAACAAATCATTTGCTTAATTCGATTAAACCCGCTAAAATCTAAACCACTGAAAGGTAATGACTGAACAATCATTTCTTCTTATGAAACATGTACTTAAGAAATGAAAATATACCTCCAAATGTGGAATGAAGGTCCTTTCACTTTCAAGGGCAACCACTCTGGCACCAGTTTTAAGTAATGCTTGGGTCAGGATTCCAGGACCTAACATGTTAACAGAAAGCAAAGTTTACTTACAAGGAAACAATTCAATCTCTTTCAATAATAATACTTTTATTGGATGCTGTGCACGTGTTGCCTAATTTTACATCACATAAACGTTTCTGACGTGTATTTGTATGGAGGTTATAGAGGGTTACTAAGCTCCAGCACCACAGCTGTGAAGAGGTAGAGCTTGGATTTGAATCCATTCTGCCAGTGACTCCAAAGCTTATTCTTCTAATCAAAAAGTTATCCTACCTTAAAAACCAACCAACCAACCAACCAAGGTTGTCACTAGTCTACCACTTAGTAATAAGCTATCCTGATGCTTTACTCATCACGGACAGAATCAAATTCAAACCGAAATCACACTGCATGAGAAGAAATGGTGCTTTATCAAGTCATCATTCAAAATGTCTCTACATTTTGTGTTTTCAGCATCCTGTTACAGGAGATGCAAGGAAGAAAAATAAACTCATCCCCCCACCTTTTAAAAGAGTCATTTAAAAAAAAAGTCATTTTATTGGGGGCTCGTACAATTCTTATCACAATCCATACATAGATCCACTGTGTCAAGCACATTTGTTGCCATCATCATTTTCAAAACATTTTCTTTCTGCTTGAGCCCTTGTTATCAGCTCATTTTTTCCCCACCCTTCCCCACCAACCCTTGATAATTTACAAATTAGTATTATTTTTCCCCCACCCCTTTTTTTCAGACTAACATCTCTTTTGGAGAGACTGAGATCTAAGGGTATAATTTTCTATGAAAATATTGTGTAAAGTGAGAACTACTAAAAATATTGTGGTGTCCACAATCAAGGAAGGACAGAACAACTTGAAAGAAACTCAAAAAAGAAATGATAAGGATTTGAGCAGAAATAAGTAAATCAGAAAACAGAAAGGCAGTAGAGCAGTGGTTCTCAACCTTCTTAATGCTGCGACCCTTTATGCTGTGGTGACCCCCCCAACCTAAAATTATTTTAATTGCTACTTCATAACTGTAATTTTGCTATTGTTATGAATCGTGTGACGCCTGTGAAAGGGTCGTTCCACCCCCAAAGGAGTCACGACTCACAGGTTGAGAACTGCTGTA